TTGGCTAAGGTTGGAGTCCACCATTACAGTTGAATATTATGCCATGTTGGCTATGGTTGGAGTCCACCATTACAGTTAAATACTATGCCATGTTGGCTAAGGTTGGAGTTCATTATTACAATGGAAGTAATGACAACTCAGTCACCACATGTGGAGTACATCACTATAATAAACAATATGACGAAACATGTTACATTAACGTGGTCTACTTCGAAGGCTTTGACAAGGATATTTGGTTCTTGGCGCCAATAAAATAGTTGAAAAGTTCAAATAATACCACAAGGCGGGAACTACTATATCAGCGTCAACGGTTACATAGAGAACGTGGGGACGTCAGGGAGAACTGCTACATGATCTGAAAATGTGTCACCACGAGATTAACATCTGAAATTACATAGAGTCCGATTTCAAAAAGATTAAACTCAGTTAATTAAACAATGACATATAACAGTAATTATATCATTATATAATTATCATATATAAGTTTAATTTGAATTAATAATTTAATCAAAACCAGACTCTAATACCACTGTTTAAATTTAAGAGGGGTTTTCAAAATTTAGCCTATTAACGGAACAATCCCGATGAACAGATCTTGATTAAATCCTTAATCACAAATTAAATATTATGAATTATCTCTTGAAGTGTGTTTTAACTTTGATCACGAATGTGGAAAACACCATCGTCTCTACAAAGTCCATGCGAGTACAAAGTGGAATGTGGTGCTAATTGTCTCTTATTATGAGAAAATTGACAATTAGGATTGGTATAGGAAATAGCTCATTTATTAATTAAATATCAATTAAACTAAATCATATTTAATTGAATTAACTTTCAATTCTCATTTATTTAATTAAATCATATGTAATCAAATAAACTATATTTGCGTTAATTTATTAAATAATACAATTAACATCTTATTAAATTTAATCTTATTTAATTTAATCATTCATTCCACTGTCAGTACTCTATGTGCGTGACCCCGTAGGTTCTTTTTACGTTGGCAATAATATTGAATCATATATTTAATATTATAAACAATGAGCAATATCTAGCAAAATATCACTACTACCCAAGTAACAAGAATGTCATGTGATCTGACATGATCTTTCTATGATAATGATCATGTGACAATTACCCTTTTACCCTTATATATATATTGAACACAAGACATAGAATGTGTCACCCTTGTATATTCCAATATTTATTTCTTGATCCCTGAGTATACTTGATAATAAAAAATAAGCCCAATATCTCATATCGACTTATTTGAGCACGTCCATACATTTTACAGTCATACTCTATCAAAGGGTCCACATATGTTACTCCCATATATGTAGGAGGGAAAAATCTCATCTAGGTCACTCATGTCCCTCAACATGATTTATGAAGTACACATGAATCATCTTTATAGCCATCATGTTACGGACAACATTTGATTGGCAATAAAGTAATCGACTCCACATCTAGGGTCCATAGTGGTTTTAGGTTGAAGGGAGGTATACATCACTATCACTATGAGAATAACTTAGGACACTTACATACCAAAATATGTAGTATTCTCATGATGGGTCAATCTAGTATAAATATTAATCCTAATATTTATACCTACATGAAGACTTGATATCTCATATCCATGAATTGTGAGATATAGTCATCAGTCTATTCACATGATAGTCTCTATGCATTACTGTTGACCTATTTGACAATAAAACCTGACTATGAATACTTTAAGAATAACATTCTTATATTTAATGAAGTCTCACAATTAAGTCACACTTAATATATCATTAAATAGACTAATTATTATAAGGACTCTATCATGTCATATACAGATAATACAATAAATACAATGCATAATAAATATATATTAACAAACAATATATATCAAGGTCATGATACAAAAGCATATACAACCAATATTGATTGGCTATTAGAGCTTAAAATCGAACATAAAGGAAGTTTCCTTAAACAAGCAATTCAATATTAATCATAATATAATTTTGGGCATAGCTCAAAATTGAGATATATGAATGATTAATTAATAGAATCTAGAGTAATCACTATTATAATTAGGTTAAAGAATAGTCAATGAACTAGATACATCACATACCTAAACTTATATGATAAAACTATATAAACAAGATTTAAATCTATATGATATTCTAAGGATGAACAAATGCAAGAATACACAATATGATGCAAAAAAATATATTGGGAGAGAGAAATTTACACCAGATGTATAGTGGTTTGACAATTCGTCCTCACTATGCCTACTCTACTCTTCAATGGTTTTACCATTGAAAATTGTAATGTCTTCCATTAGTTTGAAGATAATGATACAAGTATTTTTTTTACAACATATTATCACCAATCTAAACATTATACACCCATTCCTTTAGCCAACATATATCTAAAATGATATTCCCTTCTATTGAAGCAGATTACTTAACTTCCAATGTTCAAGATCTTAAATGATCTTGATCCAACAATCTTGCTAGCATTAATAATCCTGCTTTAAGCTTTCACTATGCAACAACATTTACTCGACTCTACCGAAGTCTTGTTTGAGCGAATGTCCTAGCTTAGAATGATTAGCCAACTCCCTATTTTGTTATGCGTCAACTTTTACCTAGTTCCACCAAAGTCTTCCTTAGAGTATAGAGAAAATCTCACTTGCTGGATAAAACACCACCAAATTCCATAAGCAAAAAGTGATTATTTTTCCTGATACACACATCAAAAACTTCACACAAAATATTAGCTTCCCTAATGTACCTTAAATTTACCTCTCACACTTAATCTATAGAGTTGAGAACCACTACAATGGTTTCTTGGTACAATGATGAAAGATATCTTAAGAATCTCACACAACACATCTATAAACTATCACAATAACAATATTCTAGGAAGTTTTTCACAAGGTTGAGTGAAGGAGATAGTGTGTTTGTGAATGAAGAAACTCTCATGGTTTTCAAGCTTCTTGACAAAATGGGTATGGATCTCAACATATCACACTCTAGAAGAAACTCATTGTGAGACTTCTTTTTCTAGGTGAATATCCTTGAGTTAATCAATCTAACTAACTAAATGTCCAATTTCAACTAATTAACCAACTCCATCTCTCTCTCTCTCTCTCTCTCTCTCTCTCTCTCTCTCTCTCTCTCTCTCTCTCACTCACACACACACACACATGTGTACGCACATGCACGTAAACATACACACATAACTAACTGACTTACTCTTTTGAAATATTCACTAAAAAAATATTTAAATAGGTGTTAGAGGTTGAGCACAAAAAGGTTAAGAAAACACAATGATTTGAGTGAAATCATGAGGTTATGATTTGAATCAAAGGTAGTAAAGTGAAGAATTTGTTATTTGATTTGAATCATGTTTTGTGTTTGTGATTCGAGTCACACTAAAGCATAATTCGAATCACAAATAGTTTTGGAAAGAACTTTTACTAACGTATTTTGAATAAAAAAACCTTGTGATTCGTGTCAAGGAGTTATGTGATTTGAATCGCACACATTCCTGATTTGAATTAGGTCAACATGCCCAAATTCTAGACTTCGAAGAATGTTTGATTCGAATCACAACATGTTTGATTCTAGTCAAGTTTCATAAAAATATTCATTTAAGTATTCTAACTTGCGATTCAAGTTATACTAAAAATATGGACTTACATCATATTTTATAGCCTAAAAACACATTGTCATGGGTCGAAAACTAATATATTAAGTGTAAATGTATCTCAAAGACACATGCCTAATCAAATAATCGAAATTATCAAATTATAAACAAAATACAAATAAATAATAAATCAAATTACACACAAATCAAATTTAAGCTGAACATTAAAATAAAAAGATATCGACTGCAATTTCAATTATCTTAATTCTCCTTCGTTCCTTTAATTTTTATTTTTATATTCGAAATGGATTGCAACATTAAAAATACAGTTTGTTTATGTTTATACGTTTGGAGAAGGGCGAAAGACTCTGAAAAGAGGAAACAAAATACACTTTATTTGAAAATGTTTTTTAGAAAATAAAATAAATGTATTTAGTTAAAATATATACTTTTATTTTAGAAGTTTTATCACAATACAGTTTAAAAGTTTAAATACACTTTTGATCTCGTTGTTTACGTATTTTTAATCTTTTAATTCTTGCAGAGGTGATGACAGATAAAAACAATATTTTTTATTATATGGCAATAATAATTAGATTATTTATTTTTTAAATGATATATTAATAATTAACAATTTTAATTCAATTTTTTTAACTAAGTAATTAAAACTTTTTAAACAACCATACTAATAGCTTAAACCCATTTTAATTTAGCATTTGTCCAATACACAAGATTTATACCACCCATGTGCGATCAAACAAAACAATATGAAATTTTGTTAACAAACAAAACTATGCAGCCACTACTTATTCCATCACCACACACATCAACACCAACACTTTTTTCGATTATACATGTACATGAACACAAATTCATGCATTTCAAACAACAAACTCAAGCTCTACTTATGCACTGTCATGAACACAAATCCATTTTGTATTTAAAAAAAGAAGAAGAAATGGTTTTATAAACATCAAAGACTAACCAATCAACATGTATTTGGTCACATTATGTGTGGTAATAAAAACTTCCACATAAACCACAATAACTTATAATTCAATTCTCAAAAACATACAATTATCAAACATCTATGGTTTAGTATAAGGGTTAAAACAATCTGTCAAAAATAAAGTACAAGATTCAAACAACTATAATCCATATGTACAATATCATGATTAACAACACACTTAGATACATTTCTTTAAATAATCAATTCTCTAAGGAAATTAAGCAGGGAAAAATAAACACTAGAAGCTGCATAATGAGTAGTATGCAACATGAAAAGAAAATTAATACCATGCCATAATTTGATCTATGTAATCGATACCACTTAGCAGAATAAGACTCGATTGATATCTAGAACTTTAACCGTAGATAATTTCGTCCAAGAGATCGTCGAAAATCAAATCATCTATCTCAAGCCCAACGCATTCAGAATCAAATTGAAGATTCATCCACCCATCATTTCTTGCAAGATCTTTACTAACATAGTAATCCAATGATGTATAATCCTCATCAGGAGTAGAACTCAGATACCAAGTAATAAGTTTCCATACTTTATGCAGAACATCATCTCTCCCCTTTGGCAATGGATGAACATGAGAAAGAGAAGACAAAGGTCTAGGATAATAGTTATACGATCTACCGAAAATCTCCAACAATCCTTCATTGATTATATCAAACAAAAGAAGATGATTGCAGTGTCCACCTTCACAATTGCCAGAACAATAAGGATCAAGAAGCAAACATCCCTCTAACTCTTCATAAATTGATGGATCTAGTGGTTGGCCATTAGAATACCATGTTTCAAGAGATTCATGGCTAGTGAAACCTGAGAGGTCTAAAACTTTCTTTACGTAATTAAACGCAGCTTCGTTATTCGAATCTATTTCGTTGCGTGGAAGTTTATATACATGTTTGAGAAAATTCTCAACCTCCTCATGTTGCTCTATTTTTGCTTCTTGTTGCTCATACATATAGTTCAATTCATCACCTGCTAGCACTGCCTTTAAATCTTGATCTGATTCTGTACATGAATCCACAGAAACATCGAAATTCGATTATAATGTTAGAAATGAAATATAGAAATGTTAAAGTATATAAATATATATATATATATATATATATACCATACCTTCTAATATATTTAAGTTTTCCAGATCAATTGTATAATCTAAGAAGCTGGTATCAGAAGAGAAAGCTGAGTTTGCTTCAACCAACATAGTACTCGATTCGGTTGTATAACCGATTTCTAGCTCATTGCTACCAGAAAGTTCATTGTCTCTCAAGTTTCCTACACCATCAAACGCTATACTCTTTTCCGACTTTACCTCGTCGATAACATCTGATCCTGAGTCTGAAGCACTCTCTTTAACATGTTTTTGTTCATCTGTCAAAGTGATTTCTTCATTTGCGTGATCAGCAGGTGAAGGTGAACGCGAGAGAATTTGACTATTTGAGAAGCCATCAATTGTACTTGAGCTTCTAGTTCTATCTTCAGATTTTCTAGTTAAATTCTGAGGAGATGAAAGAACAGAATGTTCCTCATTTTGGTTGAAGTAAGATTTTAGATTAGGTAACGAAAGGAACCTCTTAAACGATTTCGGTGTCTTCAATACCGAACTTTTCTCGTCTGTTTTCAACTTTAAGCTCTCAGTTTTAGGCTGCTTCTCTTCCTTATTGGTAACTACTTCATTGTGAAAACAAGTGTCGTAGAGCTGAGTGTATCGATTCACCGATTCTTTTAGAGAACTAGTCCTCATGCCTGATAGTTGACGCTTATTTTGTTGTTTGAATTTTTCATGGTTCATCAACTTCCTTACATTTTTGGAAAACTTGTTGCCGCGAGGAATTTTGTCGACTACAGCATCCATTGTAATGCGAAGCTTTTCGTTTTTGCTTTCTTCAATTATATGCTTTATCTTCTTTCTAAGATCCTTGAAGTTATTGTTCTTTACCTTGTTTGGAACTTGGGATGTATCTGAGGAAGTGTTTTTATTATCTACTTCAACTGATTTTTGATCGGAATCGAGTAGTTGATGATGATCAGCTTTATGCGAAAAAGAAGAAGAAGAAGAAGTTGATGGTTTGTCAAAATCTGGTGAATTTTGAATTTCTGATTCTGTAATCCCTTTTGTATTGAACCATTCATCTACCGTGTGGTCAGAATCCTTGGTTCCGGAAGATGATACAACAACAGGTAACGAGATGGATTTGGCTCGTCTTTTACCACTGGGAGAGTGTGGTTGAGTATGAAGCTGAAATGGTAAAGGAGAACCAGGATCATTTATATATTTCAACAGAAACTCTTTGTTTGTGTTGATTAAATCAAGAGCATCAAGAAAATCCTTGAAAAGAAGCGGCGAAGCATCGGTTGTAATTATTTTCGCGTTCATGAGCTTATCTTCTTGCGCGCCTTCGCTAATAGACAGATTGCGATGCTTATGATGAGACTTGTCGTCATGTTTTTCCAAAGACTCACTAGAAAACACTGCACCACATTCTACACATTTGTCATTGCTATTTCTATTGCTATTGCTGTTGTTGGTGATTGAGTTTTTCTTATCTGAGAAAACCGGTGACAGAACCTCCAATGTTCCTGCAGCGAGATGGTTTTGAAAAGTTTCTAGAACTGGTTCTGGATTCTCAACGGTTAACAGCATTTCACTTAGAGGATCGACTTCTAAGTGATGAACTGAATCGACGCGAGTTAGGTGCGATTTTGTAGGACAGGTTGAGCTTCTCTTGTGTCTCCCTCTCATCTTGTATGTATCTTCGTTTAGAAGTGCTTTTATTTTTGATTTTATTGAATATTTGTTATGTGTAGTTTGTACCAGCTTATTTTCTTCAACCTGAAAATTTTTATGTTAGATATATCAATCCACAAATTATTTATTTCTGGTGTCAGACGTGTATTAGTTAGTGTCGTGTTTGATGTCTGTGTATCTGATATTCAAAACGACAAAATTTTACTTACGTTGGATAAAGTTGTATTTGGCATCGAATGTTGTGTCATACTATCAACCCTAGAATCATCATCAGAAGTGTCTATAATTTCATTTCCTATAAAATGAAAAAAAAATTCTGTTAAGAAACATAAATTATAGGAAAAAATTAATAAATTAAACGTGATTATAAATATCGGTGAAAGTATCTGAAACGGACGCATTCAGAGACATGCAATTATATGCTTACTTGAATCATGACTTTCACTAGGCTTCCTATGTGTAATCCTTCTCTTGACTTGACGCCAATGATGATACTTTATGATATGAAGAATTCCCCAAACTCTTCCTGGATGAGTAGGATGGCTATTCACTCCATTAGAAATTCCACTTTCTTTATCCCTAACTCGCTTTCCCATTGCTCCTTAATTTCTATATCATCAACACTGTTCCATAAACAAATATCAAGAATCACGTAGATTCAGAATTCAGAAATTTTTATAAAGGCATTCAGATTTTCTAGAATTTCCAAAACATATGAGATCAAATAATTAATTTGAATAAAAAATGAAATCTATCGAAGAAAACATCATCAACATTAGATATGGGATTAATTGGTAAAATATATCATAGAACAACGTTTACCTCTATGGTGGAATAACGAAAACTGAAAAAAGAAAGTGACATAGAATTTTGCACAAAAATAAAATGCTTTTTAATTATTCTAACTCAGAGAAATAAAATAAGTGGTGTAAAATGTAGCTTAAAAAAGTAAAATTCTATCTATTTTTGTTATATATATTTAAATATATCTGTATATGTAAATTGAGATTCTTAATGTGTTCACTATTAGTTAAAAATAACATTTTATTGTTTATTTTACGAAACTATATGCTTGCCACACCATCGCATCCTTGTGATTTTTAGTTTAAATTAAATTGGTTTGAAACTGGAAACTTAGGGAGATGATGAAAATATATATATATATATATATATATATATATATATATATATATATATATATATATATATATATATATATATATATATATATATATATATATATATATATATATATATATATATATATATATATATATATATATATATATATATATATATATATATATATATATATATATATATATATATATATATATATATATATATATATATATATATATATATATATATATATATATATATATATATATATATTGAAATAAGTTTTTTTAATTTACCCTACATCATAGTTTTTTAAATTGAATCTAATTTAGTGGTTAAATTAATATTTTTAATTATAATCATTCGATTAAATCTAATTTAAAGTTTATGATTATGGAGTAAGTTATATAAACTTATTCTTGGAATAAGTTGATTCTCACTTTTATTTATATATATATAATCATTCGATTAAATCTAATTTAAAGTTTATGATTATGGAGTAAGTTATATAAACTTATTCTTGGAATAAGTTGATTCTCACTTTTATTTATATATATATATATATATATATATATATATATATATATATATATATATATATATATATATATATATATATATATATATATATATATATATATATATATATATATATATATATATATATATATATATATATATATATATATATATATATATATATATATATATATATATATATATATATATATATATATATATATATATATATATATATATATATATATATATATCATGCCACATGTTTGGGGTCTATTTTAAATAGATCTCTAAATAAGGGTATTTACGAATCTGGATCTAAATCAAACCAACTTGTAATTTATCTGAATCCGTTTATTTACAAATATTACTCATCCCATCACAACAATCCGTATAGTTTTTGTTAGGATATTGGATTTGAAATTTTTAACCTGTTGACTCAATCCGTTAATGTGACATTAATAATTTCTTTATTATTATTTTAAATATAAATATAAAATTAATATTTCATACCTAACCACAATTTTGAAAGAAAAAAATTTCAACATCAAAATAACTACTAAACCAACAAGATTGCATAATTTTAAGACTAAGTGTTGTTTCTTTTTTTTTAAGTATCATTTCAATTTTACGTAGTTTATCAAAATAATGTGTCTTGCTAAATCTTTTTACTATTATCAGATGATATGTGTTATGTCACGTGGATGAATTTTATTAGACATTATATAATGTATTTCATCAAATTTGAAATAAACGTAATTGTATTGAATTATGTTATAATTTTTTCTATAACTAAACAATTATGAAAAAAGTATGTTTTTATTTTAAACACAACCCGCAAATCTAGCTCAACTCAACTCATAAATGAACGGGTCGAATTGAGTCGGTTTTGACCGTAAAATTGTGAATTTGAGGATGAATATAACTCATTGATGTTTGAACAGTTTGGGTAATGGGTTAGGTCAAACTTAGTCCAATCCAACTTGAGTACACCACTATCTTCACCTCTGTTTATTAAGAGTCCAAGATTATTGGTAGGTCATTAATGCAAATCCCCTCTTTACACTTAGATGAGAATTTTACCTGCCACACCTTATATTATACCACGCAACCCCCCTCCCCCTCCCCCAAAGTTTCATATTTTCAAAACTGCCCTTAGGTGAAAAACACACCAAATTTCTGATAGCTATAATGACATTTTCAGTACTGAGTGATTTCTGATAGTTCTCCTCCTGTAGAATTCTGGCTTCTTGATGGCACCGCATCTCTTGTCGGCCTTATGTCGAAGTTGAATGAACTGTTGCTTGATGGCAAAAATAGAAAGGTGAGAAAGATTGAGTTTCATGAAGATTGGATTGATACTAACGGGAGGGTGAAATACAACCTTATTGAGTTGAAGACCGACGAAGATATGAAGGAAATGTGGAGATCATTTTGTTGTAGGATAACAAAGGGGTCGACCGAGTTAGATGCTAAGCTTTCAAGATCCATTGACGACATAATAGAAATGATGAAACATCCTGAAGCATCTGGTAGTGTTTAGGTTTTTCTTATTTATTAATCATATTGTAATGTTAAAATTTTCTGTTTAAGTTATGTAATCCATCCTTAGATGTTAGTTAACGTTCCCACTGCAAATTAAGGATGATCAATAATATTAGCTAATAAAGTGTTATGATGAAGATGTCAGAATAATATAAAATAATACAAATAATATAAAAGATATCTAAATAGGCCCCTCGCAGGCTATGTGTGCATCCCAAGCTAATCCAATATAATCCTCACCATATGAGTTTACCAAACCCATGAGGTTATCCATAATAGTTGCAATCATCTAGAGGCGTTTCTTGTCATCGACGTGATCTGTTGGAGGACACAGCAGCGACACGTCATCAACAGGTACCCGATCATTAGAAAGCTCGACATCAGTTGTAGGTGAGTGGTATGAGGGTGTGATACATTGAGGTATCACTTTAAGTAATCATCCTCACAGTGCGAGAGGTGTTGAACAATGACTACTCGATCTCTAATAAAATGACCAAAGCTGATGAAGTTACTCTGAAACCATCAGTCAATCCCTGAAGTTGGTATATTTAGAACTGGTCGTGGGATAGTTTAAACATAGTCATATTGTTGCAAACAACTCTCAGGCAAGTGTCTAACAACCATGGTCTCCCACAGCATATAACCTGAATATAATGACGACTCCTAAAACTCACGGTGGAATCTATGACCAGTGTATGGTGTCCATATGACATCATCAATAGTCAGCGCATCGAGCCTCCTCTTATACTCCACAACACCACCAGGATGTGACTGTCTCGCCTTCCACCTCTTTGCTCGTGGGGCCACCACCTCGCAATGTTGCACCTTCCTCTCACAGATAGTATGAAAATGCTCGTATATCCAGCACTGATATCAAAACAGAGACACAAAAAGTAATAAATAAGAAGTTCTATTTGTAAAAAAATAAATAATAAAGCAACAACAAATAATAATTTATAGTATACCTGTAAGAGACTTAAATGGCCAGTAAGTTGTTTGGTCCCAAAGACCGCCGCCACTCCAAGAGTTGTATACAACTGGATCAACACAGCACACCCCTAAGCTCAATTGGTATACTCGAGGGTACTGAATAGGCACATGTACCGGACATCAATATAAGTACCAAACTTTCCTGCAAATATAGTACATGTTACTATATATAGCATTTACGTCCTAACGGCAACCTCATACCTCCCAGCAGCTACAAGCTAATCGTATATCTTTCGAAGTCAATGTATATGAAGGTGCACACCCCTTGTCTCACCAAACTCATTCACCACCTCCGCCTCAGACAAACTCAAATCATGTGACACAACCTGACATGCAAGGGTCATGCTAAGAACGAGAGTCGTTCAAAATCTATCACAAATAGGGAGATGGGCCAATACGGAGACATCATCCATAGTGATAGTCATCCCTCTGAATGGAAGATGAAATGATGATGTCTCCATATGCCACCTCTCAACAAAGGCACTAAGTAATGGAGCGTCCAACATAGTAAGGGAGCAGTGGGAAAAATCAAGAAGCTGGAAGTCCTGTATAATCCGACTGACCTGTTCAGACATCAGAATCTTCGGGAAGTCCTTCATCTTCGACCCGTGCGATATCACCTTCAGTGTGGATCGCTCCTGCGACAATAAAATATAAACAAATGAGTTGATACCTCATGTGACAGACATATATATATATATATATATATATATATATATATATATATATATATATATATATATATATATATATATATATATATATATATATATATATATATATATATATATATATATATATATATATATATATATATATATATATATATATATATATATATATATATATATATATATATATATATATAAAATAAAGTTAAACATAAAAGACATATACTCTTCCCTGCCATAATCGTAAGGTCATACGCTCAGCATACTCTATAAGCACCGACCGGTTGATGGGTTGTCTTGGGAATCCTCCATCCGTGTACACGGAGGGCTCAATAGAAGGAGTCGTAACCTGTGTGTCAGAAGTAACCGATGGGTCTGACTTACAAACATCAACATCTAGTTGTACCACCCGAGCATCCTCCTCTGAACCAACATCCTCAACAACTTCCTGAGCAACCTCTTGAGCAATTAGATCAACCACTGGCTCACCAATGGGATCAGATACATGAACATCTGAAAGCACCTCATTTATAGCCTGCTCTACTAGTCGAACTGGTCAGCGTCGAGTGGAACGAGGTGCCTAGAAATGACTTCGCTCAGCCAACTGCTTCCGGTGTGAATCGATTGGGGCCACTCTTCCTGCCCATAGTTGGGAAGAGTAGGAATCAGCACCTCTGTCATCCCTACCATGGTCTGCCGCTCGATTAACAGCTCTCCCTACAATAGTGTTGTCTCTGCCTTTGGATTTC